CCCAGATGTATTTGCTGGTAGTGGTTTCATGTCATTTGACTCACGTTTTTTTATGTTAATATTGTTAATATCAATTTTAAAAGACAGAGACAGTGATATGGGGCAGTGGTCTGAGATGCAGGTTTAATTATAGGTCATGCACTTTGAGATACTGAACATTTTCAAAAATAAAAGTAGATGTGATTGCATAATCAACGGTATTGCACCCATTTGCTGTGTAGCAGGTATGTCATGTTTCAGGGATGAAATCTGCCTAAATTTTGAATGAACCCCTGTAAGCATTATGAAATTATGTTCATTTAGTCTAAAATTAATTATAGAAAAATGAGTAATAATATAAACAATTATAATATAAAAGTAATTTTTTTTTTGAAAATCAGTGAAAGTTTTTTGGAAGAAACCGTCAATGCCAATAGATAAATTAGATTGTATTAAGGGCTGACCATTAGAAAGTCAGGGGGGTGAAATTTGAAAAACTACAGGGGAAAATCAATGAGGTATGAATTATGAGGCATGGACAACTGATGCTAGACTAATCAATGAGACTTAGGCTCTGGGAATAGTCCTAAGAGATGTACTGATAAAACAAAAGTGATTTCTAGGCCAGTGGGAATTCAATAGGTTGAGAGTTCTTCCATGGGGGTTGAACACCCAAAATAGATTGTATTGTAAAACTGTGCTCACTCTAGCAAATCAGATTTGCAATAATCTTCAGAGAATAATTTATCTGACATCATATCACATTGGATCTGATGCATGAATGTTGCCTTTTTTGATAAATTTTGCTAGTGAGTGAGTGTTTGTGAATAGTGATCGTGATTTGAAAATGTTTCACTAATTATGAATTATAGCCATGTGACTCTTCTACTGACCCCTTCAATTTCATTGTGTGGGTCTGTTTTTTTTTTTTCTAGGGAAAAATGTTAAATGCTCACCATCTATGACAATTTTTTTTTATGTCATTTGGGGTATGATTTTCCTGACTTTTTGCTCACCACAAGAAAGACCACATGACAAAACAAACAAAATGAGCAACAAAGCTTACAGTTTTATTGTCTTAATTAGTACTTGTCATTTAAGATGTTAATATTACACCTCATCATTAAAATAATTACCCTTTTTATTTTCACTAGCTAGCAATCAATTCTTACTATAAAAAAAAAGTTATTCATTCTTTTAAGACCTGATAGCCAAAAACTCAACATTTTAACTCGAGATACAGCACCATACTCTGTTCCAGCTATATAAACAGTCCCAAATATGTGTCTGTTATCATGTGATCTGATGCTGTGTATCTCTTATTTACAGCCTGTGTTATGTTGTTATTGTCCAAATCCATCACTATGTCATTCCGTCTTTCCTGTCACCAATCAAATATGAATTGCTGGTATAGCAAGAGACACCCCCACCCCCAAATATTTGAAATCAATTTTTCTCTAAAGTTTTTTTTATTCATTTTTATTTCCGGAAATTAATTATGACAACTATAATCTTGCTGTAAATTTGAAAACTTTCCATTTTTTGATTTCACTAATAAATGGCTGTACTTTCGTCTGTGAAATATGCCCTATGACATACCGTTTTTTTGTGTGGCTGTCCATGATTAAATATGTGTCTCTATATACCGTAAAATCTGTATTACAAGTCGCATCCCTAATAGAAGCCGCACCCATTCTTTATGAACAATTGAGACCCAAAAATTCACCATTTCTCATATGTGTAGATGCTCTAATGTTAGAAGCCGCATCCTCGCTGTTGCATTGTACCATTTTAATAGAAGCTGTGGCTTTTAATACAGATTTTACAGTACTCTATCTTGTCCTATATTATCCTTTTGCGTACATGTAAAGGTCATGTACGCAAAAGCTGGTGAGACAAGTTACAATTATTCACCACTAGAGGGAGACATTTCAATTTGACTGAAATACAAAACCCAGTTGACAGATTCAATGTACTGGTATAGATAAACCCTGTAAGTTAGGAATTGTACACACTGTAAATCATTCCACGCTGAGCTGACTTTTCTTGCATGTATTGGAATGGTTTACAATTGATGGTATTCATTGTTTATTTTGTTTCTTGTACAGATTCCAGATGTTAGCAGAGATCCTAGATAAGTAAGTAGGTCTACAGAGAGTCATGATCAATGTGTTTTTCATAATAAACTATAAACATCGTCGAATTTAGGGATTGGCCATTAGAACTGGATTTGAGACTTGTTTTTTTATTTGTTATACATGTATTTATATTAGAAAAACATGAAAAACTATAATAATTTGCGCAGTTTTTCTATCATCTTCCCTTCCAAAGATTCTAATAAATCATCCCCTTGCTGGGGGCTTCATCCACATCCTCCTCACTATGGACATTCTTGCCTCTATTCATCAGTGTTATGTTTGTAAAAACAATTGAACTGTCGTTTTGAGATGAAGTGACCTTTGCTATAATTCTAGGTGTACATGTTCGAAAACAGTTGTACATTCGAGAAGTAATACACGGCCTAAATTGGATACATCTGAACATTTTAAACCACTATAGCAAAACATGTACAATCTGTATCTACCATTTGTGTCCAGCTGGTACATGAATATAGTGAGCTCATGTAGCCTTATCTTTTTATTTGTACTGTGAATTACCAGTAGTTTATATTTTCAGTTTACTTTCACTGGAGCTGTGAATCAACTGAAATAAATTCCAGTGTCAATTATTTTTGTTGTGTATTATATTTTGTTTGCATAATATCGCAAATTTGAAAAAAAAATTTAAAATTTACACGTCGCACCTGAGCGGTGAATCAACTGAAATAAATTCCTGTGTCTGTTCTGTATTATATTTTGCTTGCATAATATCACGAATTTAAAAAAAAAAGCATAAAATTTACATCTGTGTATGATTTTCGTTTCAAGCATATAGCATATAAGCTCAATGAAAGGAATCTGCAATGTCACTGCAGTTTCTCTGCAAGTTTCACCAAAAACTGTTTTTGCTCTATTTTATTTATAAACACTTCAAAAACAGAACCCTATTTAGTGCATGGTGGATCATTAATTTAAAATTGTTTTTGATTATAGACATACTTTTGTCATTTCCATAATAAATCTTTTTGATTTCTACCAGATGTAATTCACTGTAAAGCAAAGTGAATTTGTCTTCTCATTTCTAAATGTTGCAGTATCTTGCACGTATACATCTCGAAAGTTCGATCTGAAGCTGACTGTTTAATCCTCGTAGGATTTCCACATATAAGAATTTGTTCTATTGTATCCTAATAGGCAAGGTACAATAGGATTTTGGAACAATGTTTCAAAATACTATTGAACAGGTACTATGGGAATCTTGTTGGATTTTTTTGTAAGGGACTAGCTGGCACTAGTTTCAAAACATACGTAAAATGGGTTTTGCATCTCAGGAGAGACAGAAAATGTGTTCTACTTAAAAACTTTTGTCATTTAATTCTCAAATCAAGCATGGAACAAATAGACTTTTGGGATTTTGAATTACAAACAAAGGACAAAGAGTGCACACAAATGATATGGATTACAATACATCTTGTAACTGGACCATATGGTGTTTAATAACTAATATAATGATATTTGTGTTCTTAAAGGGATGACAAAAGTAGTGTTCACTACATGAAGTACAGGCTGATTTAAGCTGATTTAGGCTTATCTCACATGTTTGCATTTCGGCTAGACTCAATTGTGTCCATGCACTGGGAGGGCCAGTCGTTAGCACGGGCTAACCTTATTGTTTTCAAACTGTTTGATCTTATTGTTTTCTAACTGTTTGATCTTATTGTTTTCAAATTGTTTGATCTTATTGTTTTCAAACTGTTTGATCTTATTGTTTTCTAATTGTTTGATCTTATTGTTTTCTAATTGTTTGATCTTATTGTTTTCAAATTGTTTGATCTTATTGTTTTCAAATTGTTTAATCTTATTGTTTTCTAATTGTTTGATCTTATTGTTTTCTAATTGTTTGATCTTATTGTTTTCAAATTGTTTGATCTTATTGTTTTCAAATTGTTTAATCTTATTGTTTTCTAATTGTTTGATCTTATTGTTTTCAAACTGTTTGATCTTATTGTTTTCAATTTGTTTGATCTTATTGTTTTCTAATTGTTTGATCTTATTGTTTTCAAATTGTTTAATCTTATTGTTTTCTAATTGTTTGATCTTATTGTTTTCAAACTGTTTGATCTTATTGTTTTCAATTTGTTTGATCTTATTGTTTTCTAATTGTTTGATCTTATTGTTTTCAAATTGTTTAATATTATTGTTTTCAAATTGTTTGACCTTATTGTTTTCAATTTGTTTGATCTTATTGTTTTCTAATTGTTTGATCTTATTGTTTTCAAATTGTTTAATCTTATTGTTTTCAAATTGTTTGACCTTATTGTTTTCTAATTGTTTGATCTTATTGTTTTCTAATTGTTTGATCTTATTGTTTTCAAATTGTTTAATCTTATTGTTTTCAAATTGTTTAATCTTATTGTTTTCTAATTGATTGATCTTATTGTTTTCTAATTGTTTGACCTTATCGTTTTCTATTTGTTTAATCTTATTGTTTTCTAATTGTTTAATCTTATTGTTTTCTAATTATTTGATATCATTGTTTTCTAATTGATTGATCTATTTTCTGACCAAATTCCAGACAACCTGAGAACATTCCCGTCTTCAGTAATGTTACTTTACTGCCACAAGTTCTGGTTTTAATCACAAGTGCATTACAGCAACACAATAAAACTGTAGCTCTATCCGTGTCATCAACACTTATTGCTGTCCTACGGTGAGTGAAGACGTCAAATTAACACTTCCAACAATAATGACATTCCCCAAAATCCATCTGGACTGATATTGTGTATGTCTATTACTCTGCCCTCTATGGTAGGAATCTGTAGAGTAGACTGATCATAGTGCATTTGATTTTCACTATCATGATTATTAGCTTGACATCATTACTGTTATCAAAACAATTTCGTTCAAATTTACAAAATGACTATATCATGATTGAAGAAATTTGGGTATCATAATTGATCATCTGTCCTATTTTTAATCATGGTTCAGGGCGTGATTCTCATGATTACCTGTAACAATAGTGATTGAGTGTAATCAAATATGCAACAAATTTTGCCTCAGTTTACTTAAAATCTATAAAATTTTACTGAATGTGTATCAGTAATAATACTATGCAGGAATACAAAATCAGATTGAATGTTTGTTTCAGTACTCTGCCCTCTATGGCGGGAATATATATAACTAGACTGAAGTAGGCATTCACATGATACACCAACTACAATACCAGTTGATAGCTGAAGGGCTCTTCAAAGGGACACAAATATTCTACATTCATCCCATTTTTAGTTGCATTAACAACAATATTTTTGCTATTAAAAATGCACGAAAAAAGATTTCAAGACTGAATGTGCATCAGTTTACTCTGCTATAATTGATAAAACTAGACAATGTTTATTACAGAATTGAACCCATCACTGTATTACAGTAGTGTACATGTACAAGTACCCTTACAATAAAACAGGACAAACTTTTTTGAAGTTCACACACATAACAGTAATAATAATATAATTATAACAGTATATCGGGGTACTAGATAACAGCCAATATTACTGCACATTAGGTTCATACACAATTATAAAAACTATGTAAGGTGTATACTTTTGTTTCATCCAATGTTTACCCTTTTTTTAAAATAAATTTTCAGACCGCATCATATGGGAAATACAGTTGATTTAGAATTATTAGAGAAGACTTTGAAATGCTGTTTGCTGGAAATAAAACACTACATCAACACATCGCAACAGACAGCTGTCAAAGAATCTTTCCTTAGGTGTCTTGTACAACTGATGGAGAAAGCCATCAAGTAATATTATATTTTACTCTTTCAATCATTTTTGGTATTTCAAAGCTGAGGGGTCATCACTTGTGCATGCACGAGATTAGAGTCCTAAGTGACAATAACAACACACGGTAAAACCACAATGGCTCATGGGTAAATGCTTGTTTGTAAACAATGTTATGCTATGGCCATCTGTCGCATGCATAGGTGAAGAATCCCCCGCTTATAACTGTATTGACCAGTGAGCTGTAGTAGAGGTCTAGTCAGAACTCTAAGTCATGACAATTTACAGTTGAGTCTGTCAGTGATTGATCAAAATGTTTTACTCACTGTTTTACTCATTTCATTAATTTTACTAAATGGCTTATACAGTTTTGGCCACTTTGTGTCAACATAAAATGTATGGTGTGGAACATGCCTTCTTTTAAATTACCCTGTCTAAACAGAAAAATAGTAAAACAAGAACATCATTCAGTCCCTTGTCTATTGATCTTCCAATAGAGACTTTTATAAACACCTCTGTAAACTGAATATATTCCTTGATCAATTTGGTGTTTGTTATCTCTGAATTATGTGTTCTTACTTCACAGACTAAAAATACTGTGGCAAGAAACTTCTTCAGTCAAGTTTAATAGTGATACAGGATTGATGATGTTTGCTGAATTTGTGTTAAATCTGTGTGATGAAAGCTGTGTGCCTGTGATATTAGTAAGTGTTGTATTATTATTATCATCACCACCACCACCTCCTCTGTCATTTGATTGTAGCAGTGAATCTCTGCATGTCCAGGTTGTGTGAGACTACAGTAGTATGATTAGGCACAATGTCAATGAATGCATTTACTATCAGTTCTTTACTGAAATTTGATTTGATTTCGTAGAATTGAAATTCCATCAATATAATCATTGTCAATTTTTCTGGACATGAGATTATGGGGGATTCAATGCATGCAATATAATTCATGACATTATTATTAAATCTGAAGGTAGAATATAGTTATATAGGGCTCAGACTTTAGAAAGCTAACTACCGAGTACTTTGTATTTTCAAGACCCACAACCTGAGAAAAGTGTCACATTTTGGCTCCTATCTGGTACTTTCTGAATTCAGAACTTAGTTCAGAACTTAACAAAACCGTTGCTCCAGAAATAAGGCTTCTACCTCAACACAAAATACCATTAGTTGAACTTCTTAGATTTGTTTCTGCTGCTATTACTGCATTTCTTAATATCTCAACATTTCATTTATTGAGAACACACAACATCCTTCAGAAAGGATGAAAAGGATACTTAATATCTCGAGTGGCACTATGAATAAGCATCTTTTCTTTCACTTTGTTTATAGGCAAATTACGACAAAGTAAGATGTGGTGATATTTTTGCCTGTTTGTTCAGCATTCTCAGTAAATTGAACCAAATACAACTAGAACAGGCAGTCTCCAAGTTTTACAGCAAACTAGGTAAGTGGTAAACATATAACTGCAGAGATTGCAAATATTGTAAGAATAAATGGTGTTGTTATTTTTCAGAATGTACAACTGGATTACATGTATCACTGTATGAGATTGATCTATTTTTACTTTTGGGTGTATAAGCTTCGTGATCTGAACTCGTTGAAATTCTTCAACTTTTTCACCACTTGACTTTTTCCCTAAAAATTTGTCTGCACTTTTTTCTTATATTTTTCAATATTTTTTGGAAATGAACCCTAATTTTGGAGCCAATTGGCACAATTTGAGTTAATTTTTAGTTTTAACTTCAAAAATTTGGCTATTTTTGTGCAGACTATAAATGGGACTATTTTTTAATCTGTAATGAAAGGTTAAATTGTTTTTGCTTTTATAAAGATTGACGTCAATACCACTAGTTTAGCACAGGGAAATGTTGTGATTTCTTCTCCAAAATACTTTTGGTTATATTTGAATAAAAAATGCATGTAAATAAAAAAGATGAGAAACTTGTGTTTCTCAGTGAGAACATTTTGCTGAACTTTAAGAACATGGCGTATCACTATGTGTACAAATTCAGAAACTACCACTTTCTCAAATTTCTTGGAAATTATTTGTCTTCTCCATTATGTTGTGTTGTGTAAATTTTATCTCTTGGTGAGAATTTAACTAGCTTAACTAATTTTGATGTAAATAACTCAATATTCTAACAAACTACTTGGTTTTTAAAAACTAAATTCTCAAGCTTGGTAAAACTTCTGAGCTTAGTATTCTTACCAAAAAAGCATTATGTTGTCAAATCTCACTGATTATTTATAGTCTGTTCAATTCTAATAAATGCTAGAATTGAAAATGTTTTCACCAATCGTGGTGAGATTGAATAGCCATCTGTGAAAAGGTGGCGCTTTCTTGAGAGAAGTTTGTTTTCACTCATATCTTGGGATGGGGGAATAGTTAGACATCCAAAATAGTAACTTGCTCTGTCAACTTGTCAGTTTCAGCATCTTTTCTCCATATAACCATGGACATAAAATTAACATATCAAGAAGTGACTGGGTTAGTAACTCTTATAAAAGGCCTTTTGTAGATTTTTACTTAGTATTACTTTGAAAAATACTGTAAATGTACATTACTAGTAGTCTAATCAAATGTGAAGTTATGGAAATGTTACTGTTTTGTCACATAATGAACATAAACTATAATATTTATAACTGACAGGGACTATGTCATATTAATAACAGCATGTGCATGTTTTAAGCAAGTGTTTTTTATAATCATTAAAATAAAATAGGTTTATTATCTTCTTTTTAAACTGTTCAGCAATGAAAACCAAAAACTAAGTATCTGTGTTTATTTTTACAGTCTGGAGAGTTCAGTGAACAGTTTTCTTCTGTTGTTGTGTGGTAAATTACTGAATGATCAAAGTGTACCAGATATTGAGAATATCATACCTATATTACAAATTACTTTACCTACATTGACAGGTATGTATTATTTTCCACCCATCATGCCAATCATGATCTCATATTATTTGGTTGGCATGGCAACTGAGCATCATTCAGGGGTTTCACAAATGCATTTAATAGCAGGCCATCATCCTGTAACAACAGGCCAACAAATAAAATGCAAAGGCCCTCGGCAGTGCAAAGCGCTGCAGTGAGCCCGGTGTTGGCAGTCAGGGAACAGAAAGTAGACGGCCAATTTGGGCTTGTAGCCAGCCATATGGACGGCGACCGGCTCTTAATGAAACCCCTGATCATCATTTTCTCAAGATTGTTGTCTGTATACATGAATTGATTTGTAAGAGTGTTGTGATTGCAATTACTTTATTATGTGATTATGACTGAATATAATTAAAACACTATTTGTTACATGCATCTTCAAACATGACTACGAAAATTTTTGTAATTCCAACTCACCTGAAAAAAGGATTTGAGCCACGGTAAAATTCTGCAAAATGAAGAATGGTTTTCTTATGAAGAGAATTTGACGTTAATGTGTATGGTAACAGGCTCATGTTTATTTAACTTTTTCTTCTATTTTTTTTTTCAGGAAATGTTGAAGATTTACTACGTTATCTAGAACAAGATAGCATTGGAATAACATCAGAACAAATTGTGTCTCTTTCACTTTTATACATAGCTTATCTCCATGGAGACAGGTAATATATAACTTTAACAGTTTCTTTATATATATACTCTCCTTGTTTTCTGTTGATACGCCATGTTCTTATAATTCAGCAAAACTAGGAGTTTGTGTTTAATACACTTTCATATTTAGCCAAACACTGGGTTCTTGTAACAATGGTTTAACCTGTTTCAGTCCTGTAAAACAGTCAACAACTTTTCTGGATTGTTATCGTTATGGAGTGTAAAACAATACAGCAGTGACAGTAATTTTCAAACACGCTGAACGATCTTGTCTTATATATAATAATATGAACCATCTTGTCTTATACATACAGAAAGCCTACAAAATAAGAAAAGAAAAGATGATAATTAATTAATGTACTGTTGTGCTATATTTTCAGTGTGATTTAGTTGTTGTTTATTTGAAGTCTATTATTGTATTGTACGTGTAGTTTGATTGTAGTTTATTTCAAAAAAACTTTAATACAGCAATTACCAAAACTGAAATGTCAGATTTCATTAAGGATGTAATAAAGCATTATTCTATTCTATTCTATATATAGCATGGTGATTAAATGAATAGTCTTTATCCCATTGCCATATATAGGTTGGTTGATAAAGACTCCTTAGTTGATGCCTTGGAAACCTTTATACGAAACCATGCTGATATCTCAAGTCTACCATTATATGCGATAAAGTTTGTTTTATTTCTCTTTGCTGGTTCCTATGATGTCACTCAAGTAGAGTCATCTACTGAAGGTAAGTCAAAACTCAGGGTGAAAATAGACACAATATTGTATGTGTGCTTAAATAATAACAGGAATTACAGCAGTACCGTATTAATTTTTTTTAGAATCGCATGCATTTTATGTTTGTAAATAAATGTAAAAATTAGCATAAATAGATCTGTGAGAGTTTGATGTATTTAAATTTTACAAACATATTTTGGCTTGCATGTGTCTATGTAATGATGCATTCATTTTTTTTTTCTGTTTGCCTAGTAGATTATATATTTTAATTTTTATTATTTTGTAGAAGCAAAGATTTATTAGTTTTATGGGTATGCAACTGATGCGATATGCAATTTAAGTGCACGGCATGTAAAAACAATGTAAACACATTTGGTGAACACTAGAGGGTGCAATAACAAGTTTATTACACACCATTTTATTTCAGGGTGTGCTTTGTTAATCCAAGGATTGAATCGGGTATCTGAAATCTCTGCTGTTTTTACCCACCACTCAGATGTATTATGTTGGTGTTACTCTACTCCAATTATTCCCCTGCATCTAACCAAAAGACTAGTAAGTATGGACACCAAGATTATTAATGCAAAAAGCATAGTTGGTTGATTGCTGAAAATACCTTATGTAGAATCAAAATAAAAGATACAATTTAAATTGAATTCTTTTATTGAAATGAATCAAAAACTCAAAAAATATACCCAAAAACAAATAATGAATGCATGGCATACCAGCAGGCAGCAGAAAAAATACCTATTCAGGCCCATATACTTTTGTACCTCCCACCCTCTAACCTTAACCCTAACACTAACCCCTCCGGAGGACACCTATAGTTATTTAAAGGGGCATATACAAATGATTTGGGGGCTTGGGGTGAGGGTTGGAGTTAGGATTAGAGTGGGGTACAATGGGAACATTTTTCTGTATCAGTTTCCAGTACATTGAAATATTCCAAAAAAACATTGATGGCAATGTTTTTTTTGGTTTGATACTTTCAAGTGTGAAAAACTTTCACACACAACTAATTTCATAATGAATAAAGCTGGCAAAAACACCAATTCATTTATACCGACACTGTCATCAGAAGTGTACATACTCTAGTATTTCTTTGTTCTCTGGTTGGTTTTTACTGATATCACACACTACATGCTATAGGCAATTCAATAAACATAAAATCATACACTGATATATATTATTATTATATATCTGTCACCGTAACGCCATAAGTCACAAGTCATAAG